CTACTAACCCAGACGAAGATCCCACCATTGGAGAAGACAGTCTCGGCTATGATACAGGAGGAGAGTCGTATCAGGCTATAGTCTGGGATAGGTGGACTTACAGGGGAGAAGTCTGCACTGGTGGTATCCAACCCGAATAACACTGGATTCAGAGGGGAGACTAGGCAGTGCTTCAACTGCGAAGAGGTAGGGCATCTGAGACAGATGTGCCCTAAGCCACTCATGGAAAGGAACTGGGGTGAACGTAGTCAGACTGGTGGCTGTGCAGGTCGAGGAGGTAGGGGGCGTGTAGGCCAAGGAGTTGCTCACCTAGCTGTGACTGATGAGTCTCAGACTACTGCTGGGATGACTGGAGCTGAAATAACAGAGATGGAGGAACTACGTCTGTTCAAGCTTCAGGCTGAGAGTTCGAAGGGCAAGGGACAAGTCACCCAGGATCTGGCTACCACTACATGCTTTGGTAACTTTATTGGTTATGCTCATGCGAACAAAGGTACACAGGTTCAGGCACTTGCATCCACTAAAACTCATGTTGATTGGATCATAGACTCGGGTGCATCTAGGCATGTCACAGGAACATCTAGTGAGTTTGGGTGCATCTAGGCATGTCACAGGAACATCTAGTGAGTTTGTATTATATTATCCGAGTAAGCATATGCATCCTGAGACAGTTCAGACTGCTGATGGGACATCCCAACCCATCAAGGGTACTGGCTCGGTTCATTGCACTTAATCTGTTACCTTGTCATCTGTATTACATGTTCCTTCGTTTCCAGTTAACTTACTCTCAGTTAGCTCTCTCATTGATCAATTAAATTGCACCGTGTTATTTGATCGAGATTTGTGTGTCTTTCAAGAGAAGGAAACGGGGAGGAGGATTGGGACTGGCATCAGACGTGAGGTATTTGGACAGGGAGACAGCAATGATTGCTGCTACTGTTAGCGGAGGGCCAGAGGCAGAAGCGATGCTTCAACATTGCCGGTTAGGGCATTTATCTTTTGAGAGTTTAAATAGATTAGAACCTGAGTTAATGAAGAAAGTGGATAGAAAAGAGTTATTTTGTAATGCATGTGAACTTGGAAAACATACTCGTTCTACTTATAGAATGATTGGTCTTCGAAGTTGTGAACCATTTGCACTTGTCCATTCTGATGTTTGGGGACCATGTCCTACTACCTCTATTAGTGGTTTTAGATGGTTTGTTACTTTCATTGATTGTTATTCACGTATGACCTGGATATACATGATGAAGCAGAAATCAGAGGTTTACAAATGTTTTCAAGATTTCTCGGCTTATGTGAAGACACAGTTTGGAGTGCAGGTGAAGATTCTTCGAACAGATAATGGGACTGAGTATGTCAATAAGGAGTTTGCAGCTTTCATCTCTAATCAGAGAATTATTCATCAAACCGCCTGCCCAGACACCCCTGCTCAGAATGGGGTGGCTGAGCGTAAGAACAGGCATCTACTGGAAGTGGCACGCTCATTGATGTTGACAATGAATGTGCCTAAGTTTTTATGGAGTGAGGCTGTTATGACAGCAGCTTATTTGATCAACAGGATGCCGTCAAGAGTATTAGGGATGAAGACACCATGTGAGATGCTTTTGGGCTCGAATGTTTTTGTTGTTCCACCAAGAGTGTTTGGATGCACATGTTATGTGAGAGATCACAGATTGATGGTGAGTAAACTGGATCCGCAAGCAGTTAAATGTATCTTTGTTGGCTACTCATCAAGTCAAAAAGGATACAAGTGTTGGTGTCCCACTGAAAGAAGGCTGTTTGTTAGTATGGATGTGACTTTTCGGGAGTTTGAACCTTTTTATGGGGAGAAGACGGAGTTGAGTTCCTTGTTTGGAGATGGCTCTACTGATGCTAGTAGAGAGGGGGAGAATGAGAATGAGAATGATATTGTGGTCGGGATGATTCCATGTCCTCTTGAGTCACCGAGTAGTGATGGTACATCGCCGAGTAGTGGTGGTGACTTAGGAGTTGACAGTCAAAGTCAGGGGGAGCTGAGAGTATACACGAGGAGACAGAAACAGCAGCATGAGCCGCCTCCCGTGTCTGTGTCAGTACCCACAAATGTTGATGACCCAAGTCCCTCCTCTCCAGTGCCTTGCTCTTCTCCTTCACCTGAGTCGATAGGTAACGATTCCTTCCCTGATATCTCTGATACTCCTGTCTTGCCCCGCAGAACCTCTAGAGTCAATGCTGGAAAACCTCCAGCTAAGTTTGGAAATTGGGATACTGATATTGCGAATTATATTTCATATGCATCCATTCCACCTGCATATAAGTCATTCATTGCATCGTTGCATTCAGTGCCTGTACCTAACAACTGGCAGGTAGCTAAGCAAGATCCTAGGTGGTTGAATGCCATGCACGAGGAACTCCAGGCCTTGAAGAAGAATGACACATGGGAGTTGGTACCTTTGCCAGCTGGGAAGCGTGCTGTTGGATGTAAGTGGGTGTATACGGTTAAGCAAACTCCAGAGGACAAGATCGACAGATACATCCGAGGGCATGGTTTGATAGATTCAGGTTGGCAGTTTGTGGTATAGGGTACAAGCAGTGCAATGGTGATCATACTGTGTTTTACAGGCACTCCAAAACTCGTATCACTATCCTGGCGGTCTATGTTGATGATATTGTAATCACTGGAGATGACGCTGAGGAAATCCAACTGTTGAAGAAGAAATTGGGAGAGGAACTTGAAGTTAAAGATCTGGGGTAGTTAAAGTACTTTCTCGGAATTGAAATTGCAAGGTCGCGAAAGGGTATAGTGCTTTCTCAGCGGAAGTATGCTCTGGATCTTCTCTCAGAGACAGGGATGTTGGGGTGCAGAGTTGCATCTACTCCTATTGAGCAGAATCATAAGATGAGTGCCGAGGGTGGGGACCCTGTGAGTAAAGAGCAATATCAAAGATTGGTTGGACGACTTATATATCTATGCCATACGAGACCTGATATTACTCATGCAGTGAGTGTGGTGAGTAGATATATGCATGATCCCAGAGAACAGCATATGGAGGCAGTTCGCAAAATTCTTAGATATATTAAAGGAAGCCCAGGAAAGGGGTTATGGTTCAGGAGTTTTGGACATCTGAGAATTGAAGGCTATTGTGATGCTGATTGGGCGGGTTGTATGGATGATCGTAGGTCCACTACAGGCTACTGTGTATTTGTTGGAGGCAATCTCGTATCTTGGCGTAGCAAGAAGCAAGATGTGGTGGCTAGATCTACAGCTGAGGCCGAGTACAGAGCTATGACAGTTAGTCTGTGCGAGTTGATGTGGGTAAAAAACATATTATCTGAGCTGCGCTTGTTTAGAAGAGACTCCTTACAACTTTGGTGTGACAACAAATCGGCGATTAATATTGCAAACAATCCAGTTCAGCATGATCGCACCAAACATGTGGAGATTGATCGGTTCTTTATCAAGGAGCAACTGAATAGAGGAGTTCTGACTTTGAGCTATATGAAATCAGAAGAACAGTTAGCTGATTGTTTAACAAAAGGATTAGGTTCTAGAGAGTATGATATCTTTTATAACAAGATGGGGATAATTGATATCTATCGCCCATCTTGAGGGGGAGTGTTGAGTTATTTAGATACTAAGTGAATTAGTCAATGTTGTAAGGACCTAGTTGTAAGAATGCATTAATATAAAAGAGGGGTTTCTCAATGAGAGAAACTAACCCTAATATTTTTCCCAAACTCTTCATTTTGCCTAGCGCCCCACCTATCACTGAATCCTTCATAACTACTTCCCCCTATGAGTCCGCCACCAATAACCATCGTCGTCATTGTGTCTGCTTTGTCATTGATCACTTTCTCCACCAATAAAGTCAATCATTTGATCGTCTCCACCAGACCTCTGATCTCCTTCTTGTTCTCTTCATACCCCTTCTCCAATTCGCCAAGCCTCTTTCGATATGACAAAGTTTAATTATCACTAGTTGATGACTCTCCTTCCATCATGGTAGACAATCGAATTCTCCCAACAAAAGCACTAATTGACGAGAGGTCAAACTTGACTTTACACTACCCAAAGAATCAAGCGATATAAAGTCTCTACACAATCACCGACAAATCAGGCAAATACATAGCCCAAGAACACCAATAATGAATCTGGAATTCCGAAAATAAGAAGCTCTAATTTTATTGATAAAATTCTCCTAAGTTTTCAATCACAAAAAACATAACAAAACCCTAATAGCTAGCCGGCTTTAAATAGCCTCTGCTTTGCTTCCTAAACAAACCCTATTTGTAAATAAACTCCTACTCTTAAACAATTCCTTACTTCCTAAAGAAATCGTATTTACCTAAACAATTCCCTACTGCCTAAACAATTCCCTACTTCCTAAAATAAATCCTATTTGTAATCAAATCAAATCCTATTAGGACCCAGATTCCTTCGTTATGTAGCTTCTTGTAATTATGCACCACGCGAGCACGATTACTCCTACGCACCGATGGCTCTGGAATCATATCAGTTTATCTCACCCTTATTAAAGAAATGCTAGAAATTTTAAAATTCTACATGTGAAGTCATCAGATAATATTTCCATAGAACAATGCAGACGGATCTAAGGTCTCATATCACAAAGACAGACAAAAGGGAAATTCCATACACGGATTAAAATGATGAAAATTTCAGCTCCAGTTATCCAATACCCAAGAGAAAAGCTGCATTTGGCTGAGGATTACAGCAACGAGAGAGCCATAATTTACTTTCAAACTGACAAAGAGAACCACATTTTTCTTGACATAAAAAAGTCAAATGGGAAAGATAAAGTAATATTCTCCATTTCTATCTCTTCGTTGAGATAATGACTAAATGCATCAACATTTTGTGCTCACTCGTCATAAATCAAAAAACATCGCGCCCTAACTCAAATGAACGATGAAACTACAAGATTAAGAGCAAGATTTAGCAGAATTGGACAAACGAACCAAAACCAAAAGAGGAGAACGAGAATTTCATGAAAATGTACCGTCGTCAGGGACCGAAACCTTGACTTCAGGGTCTCTGATGACGCTCTTGATCGAGATGCGCTTGTAGGATCGTCGAGATCTCCCGATCTTGTTCAAGAACAGGTTGGAGCTCGCAGTGAGATTCAATCTGGAGCCTGTAAGCCTCGTGATTGAGGTCAGATTCGCGATGGGGCTAGTTGAAGTAGTCGAAGGCACTGGCGTCGACGCCATTGACGCCCTAGCTCGCCTACAGAGAGAGAGAGCGTGTGTGGGTGTGCGTGTGGAGGAAGACGACGAGGAAGAAGAATTGATGGAGAGCGGTGAGATCCCGAGAAAATATCAGTTGGGATTGAGCACGGCACCCCAGGGGTGAGAATAAGAGATCAGTACTCTGAAGTGAATTAATTAGGCAAAACTTCAATTTAATTAAGGGCTTTGCTTCGGTGCTCCTAAAATCATTTATTAATTTATTTTTGAAAAAGGGTAAATTTGGAAAAACAAAAAAAATCTTCGTCCCCACCAATTTCTCATCCACAGAATTTCATCAAACGCGTATAAATCCGTTTAAATAGAATCACAGGTGAATTACGCTAAGAAAATTCCTCAATAAAGATATCAACAAGAAATCTAACATGTGAATGAATGCGATACAAGGAAATTGGATCCGAAGAAAATCGACCATCAACCATGTTGATGAACTTAAACAAAGCATTTATGTTCATTCAAAATCTCAGTTGTTTAGTTGAAAATTAATCGGATGAAGGTTCCCAAGGCCTAAGAGAAAGCCAATTAATGCCGGGCTCATACTACAGTTCCTCCATGCAAAAACAATTTATTTCCAGTCAGATTGGCCCGGTGGCGACACTCATGATCTCAGGCTCACTACTCTAGAGAAAGAAGACGCTCGTATGAAGTATTTCATAGGATCGATGACCATATCAAAAATTAAATTCCATTAGGTTTGGCCATCCGCGCAATGAATTAGGGGATTGGAGAAGAAAACCACGTCAAAAAAATAAAGACCCCGAGAGTTTTTCATTAGTTGGAGAATTCTAACTACTTCCTATTTATCTTCTTATTTATACTTCCTAAAATAACATTTTAATTTAGGATGTGAAAGAGATTTTTAAGGAAACAAACTACACCAACTGCTTGGGAGCACCGAAGCTGTTAGCCCTAAAATAACCTTTTTATCTAAGTGAAATTACTTTTTTGGGTGTGGAACTACTATCAACTACCTTATCCCTCAAATTTAGGATGTGAAAGAGATTTTTAAGGAAACAAACTACACCAACTGCTTGGGAGCACCGAAGCTGTTGGCTTTAATTAAATGGCAAAATGGATCCAAAACCAATTGTCCACCCATACCCACCCATCAAATGAACCATCCAAACTCATCCATTTAGTTAAATAGACCATAAATGGGTGGGTATAGTTTCTATTAAAATTAAATAGGTCATTAATGGGCGGGTTATTACTCACCATTTGCCCGTTTAGATAGATATTATTTTAAAAACACCCTCAATGCTTCAACAATTACAAAACTTATTTTTAAAAGTTAAAAATTATAGAAAACACTTAAAATGACTAACAACCCCTTAAAATTTTGAGATTTGCAAAAAACACCCTCAATGTTTAAAATATTATAAAAACGCCCTCAAGAATTAAAAATTATAAAAAAAATTATCAAATTTTCTAACCTCATAGATAACACATGAAATTTAAAAATTACCAACAGCCCCCTGAATTTTTATAATTTGCAAAAAATACCCTTAAAAGTTGTAGAAAATGAGAAAAACACCCTCAAAACTTCAAAATTACCAAACAATCTTAGAGTTTTCTAAACTTGCAAATAACATATGAAATCTAAGAAATTTCAATAGTCCCCTATAAATTTAAAATTTGCAATTAACACCCTCAAAATTTTAAATTTTTAGAAAAACACCCTCCATAGTTTAGAATTACAAAACCATCCTGAAATTTAAAAACCTACAAATGACACACGAAATCCAAAAATTACTAGCAGCCCCCTGTAAATTTATAATTTATAAAAAACACCCTCAAAGTTTAAAAATTGCAAAAAGCACCATCAAGAGTTCAAAACTACAAAACAATCTTAGAATTTTCTAAACTTGCAAATGACACATGAAATCTAAAAAAATTCGGTAGTCCCCTATAAATATCAAATTTGTAAGTAACACACTCAAACTTTTAAAAATTACAAAAAATACCCTCAAGGATATATAAATATAAAAAGTAGGCGCTCACAATTCTTCGTCGGCAGGAGATATATGCGTGTGCGGCCAAGTGTAATTTGCAAAACTTGCGTCTATTGCGCGAGAAGCAGGAGAGAAAGAGAGCGTGTATTGTTATCCGGCGTGATAAAAAAATTTCAAGGAGAATTACTTGGGGACAATTTGTAATTAAGAACAAACGTGGAAAAAATAATAGACTTTAACCAACAACAAATATGAAGAAATGAACAATTACGCTCATAGCTCATGGATTTTGAACAAAGGAAAGAAAAACACCATCTCTCTCAAAGCAGTTCATGCAAGGCTAAGGAGGTGCAGGATTTTTAAGATCCTCGGAGTGGGACGTGATATTTTTACCATATTTTGTTGACAAATTTAGACAGCAAAAAGATTTAGTTAGGATTTTTTTATGAAATGTGTGGTGCGTGGGTTTTTAGAGTCAAATTTAGTTAGGATGTTTTTATCAAATAGAGCTGTTAGGTAGTGTGGTTTTGTAAACCGTGCAAGGTAGGGTTTTCTAAAGATATTTTGTCATTTCTTTGCTCTGTCCTAATTTGACCCTAAGATGAAGAAGAACTGAATTAAATGTTGAGGGTACTCCGGTATTCTGAAAATTTTGACACATGACCAAAGTATGGGATTTTTTTAAATAACCGAGCAGGCAGTAGACTAGACTTGTTACGAGTCCATCTCTTCTTTTGCTCAGCCCCGTCATCATTTGCTTCTTTTGCTCACAATTCTGTCCTAATTTTCCCAAGTAGTCGATTCAATTGAGATCATTTGCTTCTTTTGCTCACAATTCTGTCCTAATTTTCCCAAGTAGTCGATTCAATTGAGAAAGAAATATTTACAGAAAATCCCCTAAAAGTTTGTAGAAAACCACCTAAAAGTTTGCAAAAAATCCCCTGAAAGTTTACAAAAAACCCCCAGAAAGTTTACAAAAAACCCCTAAAAGTTCACAAAAACCCCTGAAAGTTTGTAGAAAACCCCATGAAAGTTTGCAGAAAAACCCCTGAAAGTTTACAAAAAAAACCCCTGAAAGTTTGCAAAAAACCCCCTGAAAGTTTGCAGAAAACCCCCTGAAAGTTTACAGAAAACCCCCTAAAAGTTTACAGAAAACCCCCTGAAAGCTTGCAGAAACCCCCCATAAAGTTCACAGAAAACCCCCTAAAAGTTTGCAAAAAACCCCCTAAAAGTTTACAAAAAACCCCCTGAAAGTTTGTAAAAAACCCCCTAAAAGTTTGCAAAAAAACCCCTGGAAGTTTGCAGAAAACCCCCTGAAAGTTTGCAGAAACCCCCCTGAAAGTTTGCCAAAACCCCTAAAGTTTACAAGTAAATCCCTGAAACTTACATATATATAGAAGCATCATAATCATAACTAAATTGGTTATTAGGTCACCCATGAACCACCCATTTAGTAAATGGGTGGTTGAGAAGTGACCCATTTAGCAAATGCTAAATGGATTTAGTAAATGGGTGGTTGAGAAGTGACCCATTTAGCAAATGCTAAATGGGTCATAAATGGTCAAGTGATCATAAATGTGCCTTTAGCAAATGCTAAATGGGTCATAAATGGTCAAGTGATCATAAATGTGCCCACCCATTTATGACCCAACCAAGACCCAACCAAAACCACCCATTTGACATCCCTAGGCTAGAGCATCCTTAACCATTTTGACTACTTCCTCGGTGTTAACCATAAACACTTCGTGGGATTATCCTAGACTGGATACCGTTTTGTCAGAAGCGATTGCAGAGTTGGCGTCTGATGTTTCATCCTCCGAGGATAATCCTCTATTCATCCTCTAATAGTCCCTACGTCTAGTAGTTCCCATGTGTAACCGAGTTATATGTTGGGATACGTCCGAAAAATGACGGGGACTAAAACTTCGTGTTGATTTCCTTTTATCGACCATATTGATAGTGACTTCTGGGAGTTCGTCATCTTGTGCAGCTGATCTTTTTCTACGAAAACGCATTGGCTTAGTTTTCGACGCTTCAGAGGAAAGCCTTTGGAATATCGAGACCCTCTGTAGAGAAGTCTTGGGACAGCTATATGTTGATAATACTACCCTGATGAGTTTGACGCACAGACAATGAAAGTCCGTCTCCCGGGTATCTCTCTTTCGAGATCTGTTTGTACCCCTAGCCTGATAGTACAACTCATCGGCATGATGATCGGAGTAATCTATCGTATGTTAGCACAACTTTTCAGGTATAACGTCGTTGTCTGATGAACATGTTTCCTCCTGAGGATTCGTCGCCTTGTTGGCACTCTCAAGAATCGCACGTTTTGAGCTACACCTTCGTGAGCGTGGGACCTTAACGGGCTCTTGGACTTCGACACACAGTCCGAGGTGGTCAGTTATAGGAGGTTTCTCCTTACGAGAAGGCTCAGACTTGTTGCAAGGGCGAGTACGACCCCCAGCTCGATGAGTTGCTCGGGGTTCATTCACCATGCCCAAGCGTTCTTTGACCACAAATCTGTTTCGATCTTCATGTAGAGGACCCTGGCGATCTTTCAACAGAATTCTAGATTTGGAGAGATTCACGCTGTCGTAGGGCTTCACCGGAGGTGCGGGAGCAATTGTCACGCCCCGCTTCCCAAAATACCCGGGAATCGGAACGTGAATAAGCCCGCGACGTATTAGATTGAGAAGAAATATACACTACCATTTTTTTCTTTTTCCTTTCTTCTCAATCCAATACGTTAAGCGTCTGGAAATAAATACAATGCGAAGTCACAGGTCCCCGATCACAGATAGCAAGAATATAATAGACAAACTCAGAATAAAATAATACATATCACAAATGAATATTCATCCCAGACATAATATTCGGGTCAACATGCCCTTATACAAAACTATCTGAATGAAATACTAGAGAATATAAAAATACACTGATTAAAAGGAAATGAAGGTGATACAAAACAACTGAAAGGAAATGACTAAGCTTCTGCTTCTTCTTCTGCTACGTCTGCAAGGCACTCATGCTGAGAATCCTCTGGCTTCTGCTAACTTCTCCTAAGTCTGACGTACACCAGAGAAAATAGGTGTACGTCAGGTGCATGACGCACGGCAAGACCCGACCCCACAAGGAAAATAGAACGAACA